ATCGTACCTATTACAGTACCTTTATTGTACAATTTTTAAACTCATGCTTCTCTATCTATTAGAGTTTCTAGAGAAAAAAGGTTAAGAACCAGTAATTGCTTTAGAAAAATAGCATTTATACTCTAACAGACTTTTCCCGAGTTTCTTCTATGAATAGACGGTGTTCTGTCGCTTTGTAGCTTTTATTAATATTCGCATTGCTAGCTAAATGATTAAAGGTAAAAAAGGAACTCGAAGAGACCAGGTTACGATATTTTTAAAAAATTGACAGGCTTAGAATGTTGAATTTTAAGCAAACACTCAAATGAGGATTCATTTGGCGGCAAAGTTGTTTAGATTTTAATTGCTTATAATTTAGGAAAAGGTGAGAAAGCTCTATATGATCCGAAATATCGCTTCGTTGTATTAGGTTGATGCAAAAGTCTTTTTCATTTTTTTCGTACTTCTTTTGAAAAATACAAAGTCTCAATTAACCTAAGGTTTGCTCTAAAGAAAAGTGTTTATTGTTGAATTTCCCATCTTTTAAGCAATTTGGGTTCACTTTCAAGCAAATTCAGAGTGATAAACGTTTTTTCCTAAAATTTTATAAAAACCCAAAGAAATGCTAGACTCACTTTCACTGAAGAATCAGAAAAGACGTGTGGCTAACTTTTAGTGCTCTATCTTTTATTTATTAACATCAAGATTGGTTTCCTTAGCTAAAGCGTCCAAAATGCAACATCGAGCCGTCGCCTTTTTTGACTACCCGACTTCGGGCCCTCAAAATTCTAGACATAAGACATTTGAAACTGGTTTTAATGTCATTTTGCAGAAAATAATTGGCCCTTTCAAATGCAATAAACCAGTTCTTCAATTCGTGCATTTCTTCCTTTTTAACAACACCAAAAAAATGAAAAAGCTTTCGCATCAACCTAAAACAATTTCCTCAAAAAGTGCTTCACGAAGTGCTCTGAGTTTCTGAAAAAAAAAGATTTTTTCAACCATTCATACTCTGATTGATATATTTCCTTTTTGCGATAAATTCACCCAAATCTAGACTCACTTTTTTAGAATGACCTCTAAATTCTAGCATCTACTACCTGTTTTTTTTTTTTTAAACTTAAAACTAAGCTTTCATTAAGTTTATCTGTTCATTAATTTCCTTTTTTTTATTTAATTAAATCTTTTAAAGATTGGAGATAGATTTGGCTTTGATTTTCTTTAAAAAAAAAAACAAAAAACAATCATTTGAAAGGATTCATAGAATAGTGAAAAATCTGATTTGTTAAAGTTCTAATTCGGATTTGAATCTTTCAAGTCTTCAAGGTGTTCCTGTTTTCAGGTTAGTTGTCTTGTTGTTCTATTGTTCTGTTGTTCCTGCTTCAGAAAGGCAAATCGCATAATTTTTGAGGAAGAATTCTAACATCTGAAACATGGATTCAATACGAGAATGTGGGAAAAATCAGTGGCTTTCTCTAGGTCAACCCCCACAACCAATTTCAAAACGCGATATTCATGAAAAGAGCAGCTTTGCTGTTAATTAGTTGTCATAAAATTACCACTTACCATACTATTTTAATACAAAAATAGAAATATTAAGAGAAATTCCATCAAAAAAAAGGTTAAAACTGAATATCTGTTGTATTCAAATGAATTCTTTGCTGAATTGTGTCTGGAAAAGAGCTTTTTCTGTATCTTTTCTTCATCCTTTTCATCCTTTCCATCTTTTCCATCCTTTTCTCTATGTTTTCTCCGTTGTGACTCAATTGGACTGTATATAGATGAGGAAAAGAAATGGTATAGAGAAAGAACGCTCTTTTCCCCCCATCGACATTGCTTTTTTTGATTAGGGTTCTCTCATTCGCCGAAAAAAAGCACACAAATACGTGAATTCATTCAACGGACAAACCAACAACCAACAAGCGATTCATCTTCATTTTTCACATCCACCTACCGCCTCTTTTATCTTTTTTCTTGTTCCTTGACCGTTCACCGATCGATTTTTGTTTTGTTTTTGTTTTGGTTTAGATTTTGGTTTGATTTTCTTTTGGACTTTCTCATTACTCAGCTATGGTTAGCCTTCTGCTTTGTCTAATAACCAGAAAACTCGCTTAACAACGGACTTTTCTGGCTGAGAGTTCTCTGTCACCTTGTCACCCTGGCGGAAGCGCGCTTGTTTACGGCCCACACGATCCAGGTTCAACTCCAGGCTGTGTTGTGGCTTTTGCTTTTTAAAAAGACGAAATATGAGACGCACAATAGACATGGGGTTTTTAAAAAAGAGTGACTCGAGTCGAGTCAGTTTATGAGGCGGGTCGAGTCGAGTCCATTCCCGCAAAAAGTGCGAAAATGTATGACAATTGGTTACTAAATAGTTGAGTGACTGAATATCTTTTATTAGTAGGCAATGATAAAATCTATACATTACCATTAAAATTGGAAAAAGATATCTAAAGTTCGAGTCAAGTCGGGTCGAGCCGAGTCGAGTCACCGAGTCGAGTCGTGACTCGAATAGTGACTCGAATTCTCGAAAACTGGACTCGACTTGGCTCGTGACTCGAGGTTGCACAACTACATAGAATTCTAAGCCTAAACGCTCGACAGACCGACAGAGAAGACAGAGAAGACAGACAGACAGACAGACAGACAGACAGACAGACAGACATACAGACAGACAGACAGACAGACGCTCTTTATATAGTAGATATTTTGTTTGAATTGGTTGCTCTAGAAGCTTTGTGGGGTAGGCTACTATGCCTACTTTGCCAAATTTTTTGCGCAACTGGGTCATTTGAGCAACTGGGTCATTTGAGCAACTGGGTCGTTTGCGCAACTCGCCATAACTTTTCTCTAAGTGGACCAATCTTTATGATTTTGGTTTCATCTTGTAGATCTCAATAAGTGCAACAAAATGAAACCAACAACCAACAACCAACAGACCTCTTCAGACCTTCAGACCAAAGTGCGCGCTGATACAGTGTGATCAGAGGGTTACACATAAGGAAGAGGTTGAAGGTCTGAAGAGGTCTGTTGGTTGTTGGTTGTTGGTTTCATTTTGTTGCACTTATTGAGATCTACAAAATGAAACCAAAATCATAAAGATTGGTCCACTTAGAGAAAAGTTATGGCGAGTTGCACAAACGACCCAGTTGCTCAAATGACCCAGTTGCGCAAAAAAATTTGGCGCAAAGTAGCCTACCCCAGCTTTGTGTTTCTATTGTCGATTTGTTTTTTTGTTATAATTAGAGTTTCTCTTTCTTTTGGCCTACAGGAGTTCAGTGTTGCTCGTACAAATTAAGATTAATAAGCTTATTTTCAAGTCAGACCCGACAAATCGATAAATCAAATCGACTTACAAAGCTATTTCTTTTATTTCTAGCTATTTCTTCGATCAAGATACTTGTTTTTAAATCTTTTAACAAGTTTAATCATTCTATCATTTAAAAGTTAAAAAGTTATCTCGAAAAGTGACATATTCGTCGAATAAACATCAGTTTTTCCTCTCAAATCCTTTTCCTTTTTCTTAGTCTACTTTGTCGAGCGATTTTTTTTGCTTATTTTTAACTTTCTCATAGAAATCTCTTGAATTTCAGATTAAAATATTAGAAATAAATCTGATTTCAGTGTTTTTAGAGAGTTTTAATCATAAAAATATTGATTTATGATTGAAATCTTTATTTTTCAGTGTTAGATCAAAAAAAGAACCGTATCGGATTGTTTTTTCCTCTAATTTTTACCGTTTTCTACTTGTAGGCCATTTTTTTGCTGAGTTTTCGTCCAATTTCTGCATATTTTTTTGAAGATTTTCTAGCTATTAAGCTAATTGTAAGTTTCTTTTATAATTTCTAATAAACTCATGACAAAATCCTCGAGATGACACAAGCTTCCATTGTAAGAATTTCTATTTTCTTCTCTGAAATCTTCTTAAGCAATCTGCAGACAGTTTCCCTTTTTCCTTTTCAAAATCCTCTTTCAATTGTCATCAATCTATGACTTCCTCACTACCAGATTAGTTATGATTCTGGAAATAGCCTTAATTGGACTGTATATAGATGAGAAAAGAAAATGGGGGGTAAACTAGTTTCCGCAACTCACCATAACTTTCTTCTAAGTGGACTAATCTTTATGATTTTGGTTTCATCTTGTAGATCTCAATAAGTGGAACAAAATGAAACCAAAATCATAAAGATTGGTCCACCTAGAAGAAAGTTATGGCGTCCTTTGCTGGGTCATTTGCGCAACTAGGTAGCTACTTTGCGCGGCTACCTTTGCACAACTTGCCATAACTTTCTTCTAAGTGGACCAATCTTTATGATTTTGGTTTCATTTGTAGATCTCAATAAGTGCAACAATATGAAACCAAACACACCAAAGACCTCTTCAGACCTTCAACCTCTTCCTTATGTGTAACCCTCTGATCACACTGTATCAGCGCGCACTTTGGTCTGAAGGTCTGAAGAGGTCTGTTGATTGTTGGTTGTTGGTTTCATTTTGTTACACTTATTGAGATCTACAAAATGAAGCCAAAAGCATAAAGATTGGTCCACTTAGAGAAAAGTTATGGCGAGTTGCGCAAACGACCCAGTGGCTCAAATGACCCAGTTGCGCAAAAAAAAAATCGCGGAAACTAGCCTACAATGGTATAAAGAAAGCTCTTTTCCCCCATCGAAATTGCTTTTTTTGCGATCTCATTTTTGCGAACAACCAACAAGCGATTCATCTTCATTTTTCACATCCACCTACCGCCTCTAGACTACACAAGTTTCCATTGTAAGAATTCCTATTGTAAGAATTCCTATTGTAAGAATTCCTATTGTAAGAATTTCCATTTCCTTCTCTAAAATCTTCTTAATCAATCTGCAGACAGTTTCTCTTCAAAATCCTCTTTCAATTGTCATCAATCTATTACTTCCAGACCATCAGATTAGCTATGATTCTAAAAATAGCCTCAATCGAACTCTACATATTTCCAGATTTTCAGATTTACTTCAAATTTCTTTTGTTTAATCAGAGGATGTGAGATGGAGCGTGAGCCGAATAATAATCGCATTGGAGGATCGTCGAAAACGAGATACAAAAATTTTGTGCATTTTCTTCGATCAACCCTTCATCTCCGTCCACCCAAACAACCACCAAGTCCGATTGAAATCGAAAGATCATCAATTGGGGTGATTGAAGTGGTGACACGTGAGTTTTTTTTGAAAGATTCTCTTTGAACTTTTACTATTAGTGTGTTCCTCTGAAGTAATGCGTTTACTAAAAGGTGCCTATTTAAGAAAATTAATGTCAAGCCGTTATTTTAGCCAATTTTAGTATCATTAACTGAATTTTATGATTACTAATCGAAAGAGAGAAACATTTACTATTTACTATTTACTATTACTATTTACTATTAAACTTGCTTGTTGAGGGGTTGCCTGCTGAGGTAACGGCAGGGTTTTTCCAAAGGTAATCAGTAGGCAGTAGACAATCAGTTTCAGTAAAGCCAGTCTGGCTAGGCTTGGGCTCAAGTCTTGGCCTTGGTCTTGGCCTTGTTCTTGACCTTGTTCTTGGTCTTGTTCTTGGTCTTGCTCTTGGCCTTGTTCTTGACCTTGGTTTTGGCCCTGTTCCTGACCTTGTTCTTGGCCTTGGTCTTGGCCTTGGGCTTGGTCTTGGCCTTGGTCTTGGTCTTGAGTGTGTTCTTGATCTTGTTCTTGATCTTGTTCTTGGCCTTGGTCTTGACCTTGGTCTTGGCCTTGTTCTTGACCTTGTTCTTGGTCTTGTTCTTGGTCTTGCTCTTGGCCTTGTTCTTGACCTTGGTTTTGGCCCTGTTCCTGACCTTGTTCTTGTTCTTGATCTTGTTCTTGACCTTGGTCTTGATCAGATCGATTGGATCTGCAGCCGTATTGATTCAAATAAAATCTACCAAACAAATTTGGTGCTGGGAATCGAACCCAGATCGTCAGCTTGGCAAGCCAGCATTCTACCAGTGAACCAACTGCATACCAAACTTCTTTCTAGATATTATTTCAATCAAAACACCTGGATTGGTTCAGTGGATTCAGTTAAAACTTTGGAACTTTGAAAGAACAAATCTTGATCCATTTCAATCAATGTCCGACGCTTTAGACTAGTTCTGACGCAAGCCTAAGCTAAGCACAGAAGTTATAACCTTACAATATCAAAAACTGAGCTCCATATTATTGAATTTTAGCTACTCCAAGTTCCACAGAGCGACTCCATCTTGACAGCACATTCCTCAGTGATTGTAAGTGTTTATAAGTTAAAATTGACAAGTTTAACACAAACAGATTTCAATAAACTTAGCAAGTGATGGATGATTTCAGGTGATGGAGCAATCCCATCAACCTCAGCCCCATCAGTTTCTTCACTTCAAGGCGATCCCGTTGTTGTCTACGATGATCCATTCGTCTTTGTGACATCAGGTAACAAGAGAAACTAACGATTGAAATCAGTTTTGTAGCTTTTCTTCCTTTCTCTTTCTTCCTTTCTCTTTCTTCCTTTCTCTTCCCCTTGTTTTCCTTTCTCTTCTCTAGCAAAAAGATAGCTCAATCGTTAGAGCATCTGCCCGAAAAGTGAGGGTAAAATTTTCTCTCAGAAAATCTTTCATTCTTTACTTTACTTTATTAGATGGATTGGTTCACATCCGAAATTATTATGAGTTCAACGCGCGAGCCGAGTTTCGATCATCCCATTCACAAACAATCGATCAGGTTTAATTGAATTTTCAAACAGCAGATTTTCTCTAAACAATTGCAATAGAATCTTCTTTAGGATCTTCTTTAGGATCTTCTTTAGAATTTGATTAAATTTTCAAAATTCCAGACAAGATTGTCTCGTCAATTGAGAGCTTCCCGGATTCAAACCCTTTACATGTTGAAGGGATCAGCTCAAGAATCGTTAAATCCACCAAAGAGTTGGGGAATGGCACGTGGCGGGGTTTGGTGGGCAAGTCATGCAAATAGGTTCGTTGAAAAATCAAGTTTCTTCTTTATTTTCGTATTGTCTTTTTTAAAACATGAAATGAAAGATTAGATAACTTTGAAAGTATCGTAATCTCTACTTAAACTTGATCTACTTCTTTGTGCGAACAATAACACTTACCGTAAATACTGTAATAGTACCGCACCGCCATAATGACGGTGCTAGACGACGCAACACTCCATTGCGTAGTCTAGCTTTGAACAAATTTTTCTCGACATTGGTTTATGCTACAATGTGCGCTTAGTTATCAAAAAATAACTGAAATTCAGCTATTTTTTGATACCAAAGACGCATTTTTTGAAAGTACGGGTGCTTGGCAAAAAAATCTAATACTAAAAAACTTTTGCGACTACGCGACTGTACGAGGGCGGTGGGGTACTATTACAGTATTTACGGTAGATCGTTAAGATCGAGAGTGATACGAGAGTGAAACTAAAAGATACAAAAAGACTGGACTCGTTAAGCTTATTGAGTTCGGCGAAAGATTGATCGAAATCTAAACAATGGTAAAACATAGCCTAGCCATGTTTAGTATCAAAATGAAGCTTAGAATAAGAGCTTGCGGGGGAACTGAGTTTCATGCTCGAAGGAGCTTTTGGGTAGTAAAAAATCGAAGAGCGAGGCAGACTGTCTGAAAATTTTGCAACAGATCTAACAGGTCTATTCTTTTTACAGTTTAATATCTGAGCTATCTATTAAATTAGACTTTGTACTATACTATTATATTCTAGATTATAATATACTGAATACAGTACGCCTACGCGAGACAAACTGTCTGAAAATCTTGGTCGTTAAGGATTTCTAATAAGAACTGTGAGACAAAATGCATTCGTTGTACCATGCTAAATCTTTCATTTCCAAACTCTTTCTTTCTTTCTTTCTTTCTTTCTTTCTTTCTTTCTTTCTCCAATCAATCTAATATTTCATTTTGTGCTAAAAAAATTGGAAATGAAAGGGTTTGGTGGGCAAGTCATGCAAATAGGTTCGTTGAAAAATCAAGTTTCTTCTTTATTTTCGTATTGTCTTTTTTAAAACATGAAATGAAAGATTAGATAACTTTGAAGGTATCGTAATCTCTTCTTAAACTTGATCTACTTCTTTGTGCGAACAATAACACTTACCCTAAATACAGTAATAGTATCCCACCGCCATAATAACGGTGCTAGACTACGCAACACTCGGTTGCGTAGTCTAGCTTTGAACAAGTTTTTCTCGACATTGGTTTATGCTACAATCTGGGGCTTAGTTATCAAAAAATAACTGAAATTCAGCTATTTTTTGATACTAAAGACGCATTTTTTGAAAGTACGGGGCGCTTTGAAAAAAATGAAATACTTCTGCGACTACGCGACTGTACGAGGGCGGTGGGGTACTATTACAGTACGGTAAGTGCTCTTAAGATGCTCCTTTTTGGATGTAATTTGTTCTTTAAGCCTTTTCATGGAACAAGATATCGATTTTGGCTTCAAAATCGATATCTTAATCCTTAATCGATATCTTATCGATTTTGGCTTCAAAATCGACTTCTTAATCGTTCAAAAATCTAAATAACAGACATTTCTGATAGAAAGAAACTAAATTCTATAGATTATTTAGGTTTTTACAATCAATTTTTTCATTTTTCAATTTCAATTTCAATTTCAATCTGATCGTAATGCATTTTCTAATCTTTTTCTTGAATCTTGAAAGGAAATTTCGAAACTATCGTAATCTTTTCTTCAGTTTTTGCTCATTTTACTGAATTTTGAGTTGATTCAATTCATAGTTTGATGTGAATTGTGAATGAGAACAAAATTGAATGAGATCAAAAGCAAATGAGCTCAAGAACAAATGAGATCAAAAGAAAATGAGCTCTAAAGCAAATGAGATCAAAATAGAAGGAGATCTAAGTCAAATGAGCTCTAAAGCCAATGAGATCCGAATCAAATGAGCTCTAAATCAAATGAGATCAAAATAGAATGAGATCTAAGTCAAATGAGCTCTAAAGCAAATGAGCTCTAAAGCAAATGAGCTCTAAAGCAAATGAGATCTAAGTCAAATGAGATCAAAATAGAAGGAGATCTAAGTCAAATGAGCTCTAAAGCCAATGAGATCCGAATCAAATGAGATCTAAATCAAATGAGCTCTAAATCAAATGAGATCTAAATCAAATGAGCTCTAAATCAAATGAGATCTAAATCAAATGAGATCAAAATTGAATGAGATCTAAATCAAGTGAGATCAAAAGCAAATGAGCTCTAAATCAAATGAAATCTAAGTCAAATCAGATCAAAAGCAAATAAGCTCTAAATCAAATATCTCATCCCTCATCAAATAATCAAAATCAATTGTATCAAACAAAATCTAAAGGAAAGATTACAGTTTTGAAATCTCCGCATCGAAAAGATTAGAAAACGGATCTAAACGCATCAAAACGGATCAAAACGGATCAAAGCGCATCGAAATGCATCAAAATGCATCAAAACGCATCAAAACATCAAACTTTCTAGAGAATCTTCGTCGAACAGCTTGTACAACATCGTGATCGACGATGGATCGCCGATTAAAGCTGGTCTAACCGTGCTACAACCGAGAGCTTTTATCAATAGTATATGGTGGGTAAAGAAATAGGTTTATTAGAGGATTTTATGAAGTTAGAATCAATTTTATGAATGATTTCAATCTTAGGCACGTCGGTGTTCCGCCCGAGTGTACAGTTCGTTATGGTCTCCCATTACCCCCGCTCAACTCCTTAAATTTGCCATTTATTGACGACGAGACAGGTTTACTAGCAGTATTTGAATTAAATTCGAATATTTAATGTTAGAAGGAGTTGGATCCAAGAAAACAAGCAAGAAAACAGCTTTTAAGTAACATAAAAATTGATTAGATCAAGATTTAAAGACAAAAATTTTGCGGCGGTTTCATTCGGTTTATTTAAAAGTTTTTAGCTGGCTTAATTCCCAAATGTTGTACTAGACATGGTTTTTTGGCAAAATCAGATCGGATCGGATTTGATCGGACTAGTCCAATCGGTCGAACCTATCGGATGGATCGGATCGGGTTAGCCCGATCGGTCGGACCTATCGGATCGGACTAGCCCGATTGGTCAGGCCTATCGGATGGATCGAATCGGGCTAGCTCGATCGGTCGGATCTATCGGATCGGGCTAGCCCGCTTGGTCAGCCCTATCGGATGGATCGAATCGGGCTAGCTCGATCGGTCGGACCTATCGGATCGAATCGGATCGGGCTAGCCCGCTTGGTCAGCCCTATCGGATGGATCGGATCGGGTTAGCCCGATCGGTCGGACCTATCGGATCGGACTAGCCCGATTGGTCAGCCCTATTGGATGGATCGAATCGGGCTAGCTCGATCGGTCGGATCTATCGGATCGGGCTAGCCCGCTTGGTCAGCCCTATCGGATGGATCGAATCGGGCTAGCTCGATCGGTCGGACCTATCGAATCGAGCTAGTTCGATTGGTCAGACCTATCGGATCGGATCTGATTGGTCCTGATCCGATCCTGATCCGATAACCATGTCTAGTACGCACCTTTAATGTCAAAAAAAGCGTCTGCCGCAGCCGGCTTGGGTAATTAAACAAAACCAAAATCGTTCAACCTTCAAAATGAACTTAAAAACAAATCCCATCATAAACAACTGAATGTCCCAATTTCAGAGACAAACTAATGGATCGTTTCGTTTTTTTTCGGATTTCCCCATTTCTTCTCTACCTCATCATTCGTCTAGCAGCAATCGTTCGAAAGAAATCTCGCTTTTTTTCATTTTTAAAGCTCTAGCTCATATCGAGACTCGAATAATCAGGGTATTTTTTAATTTTTTATTTCTTTTACAAGAGATTGCCAACAAATCCAGCTCACCAAACGAAAAAAGTCATTCGAAAAAGCCATTCGACGCAAAATTTTACGCTGATTCCGAATATCTAATTCATCTTTGCAAAATGATTCTGAATCGTGCGCAATTTGGCAAATAAGTTTTCTCTTTCTCTCTTCATAAGACTTACGCGCGCACCGCGTGCAAATGGCAAATGGTGTATTGGATAGTGAGCTATGTTATGGAATAGCTACTCGACGGTTCGAATCCGCTCACTTTTTTCTTTTCAGAAAATCTATTCTATGTGTGTGTACAAACAAACGCGCCTCATCTGGCATAGAACAAACTATGACCTGGCAATATCCAATGGATTCAACTGCCACCAACTTTAAATCATAAAGGGTTCATCGTTTACGTTATTTAGTTTTTTGTTAAAGTTATTATGATAGAAATTTGTGATGGGAGAAACTTAAGAGACAGCAGAAAAGTGACAAAAACAGAAAAACGCCTGAGGGAGGAGCCGAACCCTAGAGTAGCCGCCTCGTATCCTAACTTCCCACCCACTACACCACAGAGGCAGCTTGGAATCCGGCGGACGTAAGCCTTATAAAGAGCGATAGGCGGGAGCCCTATAGCTTAAGAGACATAAAAGTGACAAAAAACAGAAAAAAGGCGGGCGGAGGGGCCGAAGCCTAGAGCAGCCGCCCCGTATCCTAACTCACTACCCACTACACCATGGAGGCAGCTTCAAGTCTGGCGGACGTAAGCCTTATAAGGAGCGAGAGCCCTATAGCTTAAGGGACACCATAAAAGTGACAAAAAACAGAAAAAAGGCGGGGGGATGGGCCGAACCCTAGAGCAGCCGCCTCGTATCCTAACTCACTACCCACTACACCATGGAGGCAAGTTGGCGAAGGGCGGGCGTAAGCCTTATAAAGAGCGAGCGGGAGCCCTATAGCTTAAGAGACACCACAAAAGTGACAAAAAAACAAAGAAAAGCCAGTGAGCGGAGCCGAACCCTAGAGCAGTCGCCTCGTATCCTGACTCTCTACCCACTACACCATGGAGGCAACTGGGCCAAGGGCGGGCGTAAGCCTTATAAAGAGCGAGAAGCTTGAAGCGGGAGGCGTAAGCCTTTTAAAAAGAGGTCTTGTTTGTCAAATCAAGCCAATTTTCTATCGATCCAGAATCATTTTACAAAAACAAATCAAATATTCGGAATCAGCGTCAAATTCTGAGTCGGAAATGGCCGATTTCATTTGATTAGCTGGATCTATTGACCATCTTTCTTAATTATCTAATATTATTGCAAAGAATACTTAACAAATCCAGTATTAGCTACGAAATCTCACAGATAATTATCAATTTTACAACCTTTTTTTCATATTTTGTCTATTTATGTACAAAATTTATCAAAAAAAAACTACCGTAATTCAAATTTCCTCAAAAATAGCTATCGCAAAACTTAAAAAAATACAGGTGCATTCTTTTATATCCGGTGTTATTTTTGGTACTTGTTGATTATCTCCCGCCAAAAAAGAACCAATTCTTAAGTGGATTGGAATCGTTTATTGGTACAGTTAAATACTAATTTCGCGAATTTGCTAATTTGATTACTGATTTCGTATTGCCTCTGTAGATTTACATACCGGATTTTCTCTAGTAGTAGCGTACTTTAAGCGTCGCCTTAATTCCTCGAAATCTCGAGAACCGCTTATCAGAACCTATCGATGTGGGATCGGAAAATGTAGCTGACGATGAGATCTTGTGGGGGATTAGAGGGTTGAGCTTTTGAGAAAACTTTGGAAGCCGTAAAATAGTCATTAACTCGGCTTGACGGGCATGCACTACTATTAGAGGGAATACGATAGATTTGGAATGAGCATAAAGTTCTGTGTCTAATGGTATAGTTTGCATAGCATTTGACCGGCTCAGCCTTCCCTTGTCCAAAACTTTGAAAGCCGTAAAATAGTCATTAAATCGGCTCCACTGCACTACTAGAAAATAAGCAGGGAAAAGCATCTAATCTACAACCTAAAGTTGCTCAAAGAATCAGTATCTAAAACTATAAGATGCACCAGATTCCGACTCATATCGGCATAGTTTCAGTATAAGTGTTACGTAGCTAGTTAGTACCGTATTCCCTCTAATAGTAGTGCACTTTGAGCTTCGTCTAAATTCCTCGAAATCTCGAGAACCGCTTATCAGAACCTATCGATGTGGGGTCGGAAAATGTAGCTGACGAGGAGATCTAGTGGGGGATTAGAGTATCGAGCTTCTGCAAAAGCTTGGAAACTGTAAAATCGTCACCAACTCGGCTCGCCCGGGTGCACTACTATTAGAGAAAATACGGTATATATAGCAAATAATAAAGCGCCAAAATATAGCAAATATAGAAAGTATTTTTGATTCTAAAAACAATATTTCCATCGTTCTAGTTTTATGCTAGTTTTATGCTTTTACTGATTAATAATATCTGTGCAGTGCTAGAAGACTCCGAAAATCAAAATCTTATGTGCAAATTCATAAATTCATTTTTGGGTGCGGAGATAACCCATAAGTACCTCATTTTTTCTGTTCTTGAAATCATTTTTTTTTTGTTTTTCTCGAGAATCCGATTCTTAAGCATTACAGAACTTTATTTTTAAGATTTAAATTTAAATAAGATTCCGATAGTTTTCAATGCACCAACCAATCTAAGGATTCTCGAGAATTCTTTTATTTTTTTCATTTTTTGATTCAATTTTTTGTGTAGACAGAATTTTGCAATAAATAAATCTATTAATTTATCATTTTAACTCTAAAAAAACCAATGAATTTTGTATAAAATGATAGGAAAAGATAGGAAAAAGATGAAAAAAACAAACAGCAATGGCAATCACAGCAGGAGCAATGTGTTTTTTGTTGTTTCTTTGTTTAAATTATCATGAATTCCGAGAAAAGAAGACTTTGAATTGTTTATTTTATAGTTTTTTAACGTTTATTTCTTTCTAATCTTCTTTTTATTCAAAAAGAGTGCACTAGATTGGCGGCGTTTACAATTTTCGCAACTCAATATAGCTTTTACTGGACTTTGGCCTCGAATTTCTGTAAACACACGCTTTCTAGTGCACTCAAATGATCACTTTTCTCTTAAGAAATCACAAATCGAGTTCTCAGGTGGTGGGCCAAGTGTTTGCAAGATGGCCAAGCGTTTACAAGATGAACTTTTCAACTACCGTAACCCTAAACGATCAGTGAGATCAGTGAGTTTACTGTAAAGATTGAAAACAAAAGTAAAAGTCTATAATTATTAAGATCAAGGTTACGATAGCTAGAGCAAGCTTTAGCAGCTCTTTAGCAGTTCTTTAGCAGCTCTTTAGCAGTTCTTTAGCAGCTGCAGTTCTTTAGCAGCTCTTTAGCAGCTCTTTACCAGCTCTTTAGCAGCCCTTTAGCTCTCAAATTTTAATTTACATTTCTATTTAAAAATCAAATTCAAATCCAGCAAGAATTGGCCAAAAAAAACCACAAAATTGGTAAGAAAAGAGTACTTTTTTGAACTGAAAATGGAAACTTTTAAAAAGAAAAATCTTTTAAACTAACAAATTTCTGATATGGTTTCATAGAATTCACCCTAATTAATATAGAAATATTTTTAAAAATGGCAAATAATCGTAAATAAATCCTTTTTTTGGGGCATCACTTGGGGTATTGAATGGACTTGTGTTTCGGTTGGCTCTTTTCGATTTGATTCGGTTTTGGTTCAACCGAAGTCAACCGAAAGCTTTCGGTTCGGTTCGGTTCAACGGAAAAGATGAGTTTCTCGGTTTGGTTTGGTTTCGGTTCAACCTAAGTCAACTGAAATCTTTCGGTTCGATTCAGTTCAACCGAAAAGATGGATTTTTCGGTTCGGTTTCGGTTTTGGCTCAACGGAAAAGATGGGTTTTTCGATTTGGTTCGATTTCGGTTCAACGGAAAGATGGGTTTTTCGGTTTCGGTTCAACCGAAGTCAACTGAAATCTTTCGGTTCGATTCAGTTCAACGGAAAAGATGAGTTTTTCGGTTTCAGTTCAACCGAAGTCAACCGAAATCTGTCAGATCGGTCCAGTTCAACGGGAAAGATGAGTTTCTCGGTTTGGTTCGCTTTCGGTTCAATCGAAGTCAACTGAAATCTCTCAGTTCGGTTCAGTTCAACGGAAAAGATGAGTTTTTCGGCTAGGCTCGGTTAACCGAAACCGAAATCGAAACCAAACAGTAAAAGAACGTTTCCGGTTCAACCAAAACACAAGTATAGTATAGTATTCAGGTATATTTGGGGACTAGGGAACGAAATTTTTGAGAGAAGCCTAGAGAGAACGAATTAGCAATTATAGGAAAAAAACGGTGAAATGGGCTGCGTTTTGGAGCCTTTAATCAAATTTTGTCAAACTTTTAATCACTTTTAGATTTTTAGTCGAGTTAAAGGGTTAGGATTACAACAAATGGCAAGTGTTGAATCTAGACCAGTCCAATCTACAGCTTCTCGCGCAACTATGGTGACTTTATCAATTTCTTTAGCCTAACTCAGTTCTTGATTTCTTAAATCAAAGAATTCTTGTTTCCTAGTAAATTCTGAGTTCAAAAAAAAGAATTCTTTGATTTAAGGCATTGAGAACTGAGTTAGAGACTCAATAACTTGTTTCCATAATGCTGCAGAAAATCCTGTACAAATTCTGTACCAGATCCAAACCAGATCTTGGAAATTGTTCGATTTTCAGGTAGTAAAAGCAGAAGCCAGATCAGAGCCAGGTCCTCGTAACCAAGAAATTACCAAGTTCTAAAGGTGCGCCAGGTGCCAGGTACAAGGTGAGTTCCTCAGCTAACGTCAGGTCGAGGCCTGGGCTTCTACACCCAAACACTGACTTTGACAAGGATTTAATAAAAGATTTGACGGATCTAAAAGCCAGAAAAAGCCAGTTTTACCAGGCAATTGACTTGATCCAAAAAAAATTTGATTTAAAAAAGTAAATAACTCTAGAAGTTAGATGCTTGGTCTCCAAAACGTTCAAAAATGATAAAAAATGAGTGAGTGAATAGATAACTTATAATATATTGAAAAGAACAAGATTTTCCATAAAATTTTGCATTTCGAGGAGTTCGTTGAGGTGAAATACTATCGTTGAAGTTCGACACGGGAAAGCTGTGCAGCTGTCTCGGCTACAGGGTCGGTCGTGGGCTCTGGGAGATACTAAAAAAGTTCGAAATTCTTTAGAAATTCAAATATTTCTATAAATCAATATTTTGACAAGTCCATAGAAACTTTTAAAGCTAAAGAAAAGAAGAAGCGAGTTGAAAAAGTGATGTTAAACCGCAGAATGACCTGTGAGAGTCAAATTCTCGTCCAATTTCTCTTCAGGCTTAGAAAATGACTTTATTAAGTCGATAGGTTGCTTTTCTGGTTGTAAATTTACTGTATTACATTGGAAAATTTAAATTTTCACTTAATTTCTTTGATTTATCGCTAATTGAAATAATTAGTTGAATATTTTAAAGGATATTGTACCCTAAAGTCTCGAGTATAAGTTCTGCCTTAATTTACATTCGCTTTAATTGCTTTCAATTTCTTTTTGTTGGGTTTTTATACATTTTTATTGTTATATAAAGTTTTATTATTGTTCTTGGAGCGCGGGTGACAGCCTACAGGACTACAGGGTGACTACAGGGTGACAGCCTATCACCATTGCTATTTGTTATGTGCATGGAAACATCCAGACGATAGTGTTGAAGAAGACGCTGGAAAGCATCTCTTTCGACCGTCGACGTGGACTTTGGCCGGATGAAGAGGCCAGGGAGGGATCCATAAGACTGAGCACCGGAGAGGAGCAGGGCGGACGCGCCGAGCCACACCCGGAGCAACAAATAACAGCATAAAATTGCTATAACCCTCAATAAATTTACTTCTATTATTGTTCTTAAAAAGCAAAAAAGTTATGCTGCAGTGGGGTTCGAACCCTCGACACACCGCACCGGAGACAGCCGTCAATTTGCATGCGAAAACCAAACAGAACTTATACTCGCGACTTTAGGGTAACTGATTTTACGGATCTGTATCTGCTTCTAATAAGTCCTACAGTAATCTTGGATAAACTACGATTAATTCGTTTTTTTGAAAAGGGGAACCTCTCTTTCTACTCTTCCCAATTTTTTTCGTTTTTAGAAAGAATTTCGCAAAAAAAGTGAGCAACGGGAATTGAACCCTCGACCTTTTTCGACTCGACCGATTGATCAGACCGGCGCTCTATCCACTGAGCTAACCGTGCTTGTTTTCGAGTGAGAAAATAATCAGATAAAGAGAAGAAAGGAAAGAATAACAATTTGGTTAACAATTTGGGAAAAAACGACTAAGGGGAATTGAACCTTTTCAACTTTCTCTCTTCATCTCTCGTCTTTCTCACTAGAAAAACAAGAACCTATAGCTCAGTGGATAGAGCGTCGGTCTGGTAGATTAGGCAAATCAAATAGGGTCGAGGGTTCAATTCCTGTTAGTCATTTTTTCAAAATTTCTCCGAAAAAACGACTAAGAGGAATTGAAGCCTCATCTATTAGACCGACGCTCTATCCACTGAGCTATCGATGCTTGTTTTTCTAGGGAGAAAATAACCAGATGAAGAGAAGAAGGAAAAGAATTTGAGGAAGAAAAAGAAGAATTTGGGATAAAAAATGGCTAACAAGAATTGAACCCCCGGCCTTCTTCGACTCGATCGATCGACCAGATCGACGCTCTATCCACTGAGCTATCGATGGTTGTTTTCTATGGAGAAAATAACCAGCTGAAGAGAAAAAGGGAAAGAATATACGGGAACAATTTGGGAAAAGAATGACTAAGAGGAATTGAAACCTCGACCTTATTTGAGTCGCCTAATCTATCAGATCCACTGAGCTATAGGTGCTTGCTTTTCTAGTGAGAAAATAGCCAGATGAAGAGAGAAAGTAGAAAATAGATTCGCTATCGCTATCTTTAGCAAATTCGATCGTTTTCTAAAACCTGTCCCCTTCTCTACCGTAATCTTGTCTTTATTTTATTTCCCTACTTTTTAGCTGATTCTCGCAAAGAATAGACAAGATTTCGGAGAAAAAGGGAAGGGTTTAGAAAATCTAGAATTTAGATTCAATAACGATAAGAAGATCAAGCTTTAGGGATACCTGTTGAACGTATTGTGACATGCTGAAATGCTTCTCATTTCTGGCACTCTCCATGAATGGATGAGCTAACAATTCCGGGTATTTCGGTCGTTTCATGAAATCTTTCATCAAGCTGAAATATTCGTAGATTTCAATAGTTTTTTACAGTGAAACTCACCAATTCTCAACAAAATTGAACATTTCTTTCGAAAAGCCCATGTCAAACGGGAGTTTTGGAGGTGGTTCTTGGACAACCTGAAACGAAAACTCATCTCCGCTTTATCGAGAATCAATCTAACTATCTAGATCTAATTTCGTATGCTATTTAGCTATATAGAGATAGCTAATTAGCTATTTAGCTATTTAGTTATTTAGCTATTTAGCTATTGACCTATTTAGCTATTTAGCATGCTTAAGCTTGATATAAAATTCAACAAACTTGTTTCAATTGCTCAAATGGGGTTTTCCAACGGCCGTATGGATGAGTACCGGTTGAGATTTCGATCTAAAGGAGTTGATAATTATCTATATAGAGATTTAGCAGTGGCAAGTGGCAATGAATTTGAATAATGGCAAAGAATTGGAGTTGGACTTGGGAAATTGGATTGAATTGAATTGAATTGAATTGGGAATTGAACCCTCGACCTTTTGCTCACTAGGCAAATGCTTTACCCTTGAGCTATCGCCTTCTTTGTTCAGGAGGAAATGGGAAAGGAAGAGAAAGAAAGATAAGGAAGATAAGGAAAGATAAGGAAGAGAAAGAAAGACAAGGAAGAGAAAGAGAAGAAGAAAAAGAGGGAAGAGTAGAAGATATTTAAAATGAGAATACGATAGCCTGTTAGCTAACAAAGGAATGGTCTCAGCTTAAAGTTTGGAATCGACTGGAAACACAGGGCATAACATAAAATCGGCAATGGCGAACAGAACGCCACAAATAGCCACGGAAACGCGAGAAATCTGGCATGCAAAATCGGGATTAAAGACTGATTCCTTTATAAGGCTTCGCCTTTGCTCAGGAGGAAATGGGAAAGGAAGAGAAAGAAAAGAAGAAAGAGAAAGAAATAAGGAGGTAAAATGAGGCACCAAGCTTGTCCAGCCAAAGGATGTCCAATCAACCAATGTCCATCCATCGATTAATCTGTCAAATATCTTTTGAAGACTCACAATTGTGATCCCTAGACTCCACACATCAGCTCTCACATCGTAGGCGACTTTATTGTCTCCATCTATCCTCTCCGGTGGCATGTAGGGTTTACAGCCAGCATTTATCGTTTTTGCAACTCTAAAGAGAACATTTTTGTATGTTATATCTCGTAAAGTTATTTAAAAAAATCTTACAGCTCTTTTATTCTATGTAAAATTACGCCTGGATTTTACAAGCAATTCTTATTTTTCATTTTAAGTTAATGTATTGTCTTAGAAAGTCAAAAAGATGGATTAAAAGTTCTATTAGAAGTTTAGCTACTTTTTATAGAGTTACACAAAGGCATAGAGGCTTGATTTTATTATTTACATACATTTCATTGTGCTTTCTAAAGACCAAAACATTTCTGCAAGAAAAACAAAGAGTTTAGTGCTTTAAGGAAAGCTTTCGAGTAAACTTTTAAGCAGAAAGATCAGGTTTAGCCAGTTCATTTACCCAACCAACACTTACGAGTTTGTCAGATGACCGGAAATTCCGAAATCGCAGATTTTCACGGCGCCCGCTCGATTCAGCAAAATGTTTGACGGTTTCACGTCTCGATGTATCAAGTTCATTTGCAATTTCATGAAGTTAAGGCCCTCGAGAATCTGAAAAGAGATGATTTTAAGGGTACGGTTTTGTTTAATGCTTTAATATCAAAACGAGACTCAGTTTAGATTTCTAGATCGGATGGATTTCTGGATCGAACGGGTTTCTAGATCGGACGGGTTTCTAGATCAAACGTAACAGATCTAGAATCAAGCCGCTCACTCTAAATCTAAGTCTGGATCGGACGTCTGATTTAGAGTGATCGGCTTGATCCTAGATCGAACGTTTTACCTCAATTCATTCTAGATCGGACGTCCTATCTAGAATGAATTGAGGTCAGTTTAGATCGGACGGATTCCTGGATCGGACGGATTCCTAGATCGGACGGATTCCTGGATCGGACGGATTCCTAGATCAGACCGATTCCTAGATCGGATCGATTCCTAGATCGGATCGATTCCTAGATCGGACGGATTCCTAGATCGGACGGATTCCTAGATCGGACGGATTCCTAGATCGGACGGATTCCTAGATCGGACGGATTCCTAGATCGGACGGATTCCTAGATCGGACGGATTCCTAGATCGGATCGATTCCTAGATCAGACCGATTCCTAGATCGGACGGATTTCTAGATCGAACGTTACATATAGATCTAACTAAATTCATCCAGAAACCGTACTATCGATTTGTCTAGTACCAGATCCAAAAAAATGTAGTGCTGAATTCTGAATAGTACCGGGTTTAGGATCCACAAAAAAATCCACAAACCAGATTCAAAAAATTCATTGTTAAGTTCGTATCAAACTTGAAAATCTCTGGCGCTAGCTTCGTGAACTATTCTAAGAAGCTATTCTTTCTTAAATTAACTACAATATAGTCACAAATTTGTTCCACAATTCTTAAAACACATTCCCCAAAAACTAAATTTTTGAATAGGATTCGAGGAATTGAAATGAGCAGTTTTTTTTGGATAAAGTAGAGAGAAGAAAGAAAAGAAAAGAAAAGAAAAGAAAAGCAAAAAGCCATTAGCTAAACCGCTTAAATGAGAGATTCCTTAAAGAAAAGCTAAAAAAACAAGAAAATTAGCTTTTTCTCTTTTCAGATTAAGCCAATGAAGAGAACACTCATTGAAATAAAAAAATTTGAGAAAGAAAAAGTGTTCCCGGTTTGAGTTTGTCTAAATTGGATTGATTAGGCTGAAATTTAGTTATTCTTAGCTTTACTTTTCGAAGCTTTTCTGGGCTTTTACACTTCAAATGTTAAAATATTTTTGAAGCCACAAGAGAAAGGGAACAAATGGTCAAATGAGCTAAGCCATAGACGCAGAATTTCACACTAATTCCGAAGCTGATAAAACGCTTGCAAACAAAACGATCGCTGCAGTTTTTATTCGAATTCGATTGGTTTCGATTCACGTTTTTTTTCGTTTGTTTTCAAAAATTGGACAACCGGAAAAGACAACCGGAAGTCACAATGTTACCGTATCAATTGCCTACATTGTTGCGAGTGTTTTTGCTTGCTGCTTAGGCTTAGGCTTAGGCTTAGGCTTAGGTTCAGGCTTAGGCTTAGCTGGGGTCAAGCTGGACCAGGCTAGGTTCAGGATCAGTCTAAAGCTAGGCTGATCGCTAGCTAAGCTCCGTTAAGCAGCTAAGCTCAGCTAAGCTAAGCGAACCTTGAAAACAAAGCTTTTCAAAAACTTTAAAGAGTCATTTGCAAGAGAAATGATTTGGTTATTTAATAAAATAACCGTAGCTTGAGACTTATTCAATTAGAAGATGAATCTAGGTGAAAGACAGTAGGATTCAACCTAATAGGATTCAGTATTTGGCCAGAACCAAGGTCTACTTAGGCTTAGACGTAATGCAAAAACTAGCGGCTAGCGCCTTGCACTAAGTTTATTTAGGTTTTCAGGCTTAGGCTTAGGCTTAGGCTTCGGCTTAAGCTCAGGCTTAGGCTTAAGCTTAAGCTTAGCTTCAGGCTTAGGCTTAGGCTTAGGCTTAGCTGGCTTAGGCTTAAGATTAGGCTTAGTGCGGAGGCTAGCGGCTAGCGCCTCGGACTAAGTCTATTTGGGTTTGGGCTGAGCCCCCATTTTCTGGATCACAGCCATTTTAAGCTTAAGCTTAGGCTAAGGCTAAGGCTTAGGCTTAGGCTTAGGCTTAGGCTTAGGCTCAGTCTTAGGTTCAGGCTTAGGCTCGCTTGCTGCTTTCTCTAATGCTAATTTTCAAATCTCAATTAGGAACTTAATTAAACATTTAAAATAATTTTACAGTGAAATAGATCAGATAAAATTCTGATTTTAAGACATTAAAAAGCCAAAAAGGAATTGAACTCAGGCAAAAAACATTTCTTTATCAATTTATTAAGTTATGAATTAAATTTTGATCAATCTAGGCCTTTTAAAGTGTGGCTTATGGGTCACTATTTCTTTTTGACTTATTTAACAAGGAACCAAAGAGTAAATCAAACAAATTAAGCAAATTAAGGGATCAGAATGAAGCAGAACGAACAAAAACTAAGATTTATTAGTGTAAAGGATTGTTTTTAATGTCTTTTTATAAGTTTTCTATATTTGAAAAGTAACTCACTGATAAAGTTGCCTTAGCGACAAAGGGTTCAGGCAAACGAGAGCCGGAAGCGATCACCGATTTGTAAAATTTATCGAGAGAGGTGTCCATTACCTAAAATTAAGTCCAAAATCCAAAAACAGTAAGTCGAAAATCATTTTCAGTTCAGTTTTCGTTTACTGGTAAAGATTTGAGTCATCTGGACTATTTGGAAGATCCAAATAGTCTAGAGGACTTTTTAGAAGATCCAAATAGATGGCCTGGTCTGATTTGTGTTTGTATGACAATAAAACTCCGGTGTACCTTCACACACCTTCTGCGTTTGGACCTTCTGATTTGAACCAGTGCAAGCCCTGGTCTTGATAAACTTGAACTGGACTACGATAGTTGCAACCTTTCAAGTTTTATAACTGAAAATCCAACTCACTTCCATACAAATCCACACATCTCCCTCGCGAAACATGGCTCCATAAAAGCGAACCATCTTAAAAACCACTTATTTCAATTCTCAATCTATTTCCTTAAGATAAATACTTAAATAAATACTTAAATCTTTAAAATCTAACAAACCTGTGGGCAACAATCACTTTTCATACACGTTTGCAACTCGATAAGCGTTCGCTTTTGTGACTCGTCGTTCATCGAGGAGGTGATACGCTGGAAAAGGATTTGATTGAATTGCCGTATTTTCTCTAATAGTAGTGCACCCCGGCGAGCCGAGTTGGTGACTATTTTATGGTTTTCAAAGGCTTCCAAAGCTTCACAGAAGCTCAACACTCTAATCCCCCACTAGATCTCATCATCAGCTACATTTTCCGACCTCACATCGATAGGTTCTGATCAGCGGTTCTCAAGATTTCGAGGAATTTAGTCGAGGCTTAAGGTGCGCTACTATTAGAGAGAATACGGTAGATGACGAAGATATTTAATGGACAAGAGAAGGTTCCGATATCCTGATTTAATGGACAAGGGAAGGTTGAGCCGGTCAAATGCTATGCGCATTCGACTCAGAACTTTATGATCATTCTAAATCTATCGTATTTTCTCTAATAGTAGTGCACCCAAGCGAGCCGAGTTGGTGACTATTTTAAGGTTTCCAAGCTTTTGCAGAAGCTCAACACTCAAATCCCCCACTAGATCTCATCATCAGCTACATTTTCCGACCCCACATCGATAGGCTCTGATAAGCGGTTTTTGAGATTTCGAGGAATTTAGGCGACGCTCTGGGTGCACTAATATTAGAGAAAATACGGTACTAACTAACTATGAAACTAACTTATACCGAAACTATACAGATATGAAGCGGAATCTAGTGCAACTTATAGTTTTAGATACTGATTCTGAAATTGGAAACAACTCTGAAGCAATTTCCCTCTTGTCCTGAAAGCATTGTACTATTAGGTTGATGCAAAAGTTTTTTTCATTTTTTTCGTACTTCTTTTGAAAAATAACAAAGTCATCAATTAACCTATGGTTTGCTCTAAATGAAAAGTGTTTATTGTTGAATTTCCCATCTTTTTAAGTCAATTTGGGTTCACTTTCAAGCAGTGAAAACGGGTTTTTCATAAAAATCTATAAAAACCTCTATAAAGAAATTGGCTGAATCAATTTCTCTGAAAATCTGAAAAGATATCTAACTTTTTGTGCTCTATCTTTTATTTATTAACATCAAGATTGGTTTCCTTAGCTAAAGCGTCTAAAATGCATCATCGAGCCGTCGCCTTTTTTGACTACCCGACTTCAGGCTCTCAAAAAAATCTAGACATAAGACATTTTAAACTCGTTTTAATGTCATTTTGCAGAAAAATAATTGGCCTTTCGAATGCGATAAACCGTTGTTCAATTCGTGCATTTGTTACTTTTTAACGGAAGTACGAAAAAAATGAAAAAGACTTTTGCATCAACCTAATAATTTAGGCGAGGCTTAAGGTACGCTACTATTAGAGAAATGAATTGAATAAAATTGAAGTTCAAATTTGTTTCTTATTCATGATATTCTTTAATTAATTCAATTTCCTTTAATTTCATTCAAAACTTCAATTCCAATCTGTGAAAACAATCTTTATTACCTTCACGGCCATGACAATCCCCGTCGGTCGGTGCAGCATTTTCTCCACCAATCTGAACCTCCATTTTCTTGGTTTTAAATTCTAGTTTTTAAATCCTTTTTTTAGTTTTTAAATTGTAAATTGGTCTTTTTAAAAATCTTAAGAATTAAACTCACCCATATCCACCCCTTCCCAGCTCTTCCAAGACTTTCAAATCAGTTGCAAGCACTTCAACCTCAGGTGAGTTTTCGTCGACTCTAAAATTTTTCAGTCAAATAACAATCAATAAATCGAATAAATTGAGTTTTCCACAAACTTATTTTAAGTTTACTTGAAAAAAGACGAAAACTAAATGATTCTAAGGTTTTTAATGTCTTATAGATTCAAAAACTGTTAAATAGTGAAGACTTTTCTTATTGTTAAACAAGAAAAACGGATAAAATTGGTGTGAAATCTGACTTCTTTTGGTCAAATTTAGGGATTGAGTCAACGAATCTATTTTTAGAATCTCAAATTTAGTAATAAGAAAGGCTTCGAGCTTTTTAGCTTCGAGCTTTGAGCCTTTTAGGTTTGAGCCTTTTAGGTTTGAGCCTTTTAGGTTGGGCAAAAAGCCAAGCTAGATCTTTGAATCAAAATTTGAATCGAAAGATCTAGAGCTTTAGAGCTTTAGAGCTTTAGATTCTGGAGCTTTAGATTCTGGAGCTTCGAGCCTTAGAGCTTCGAGCCTTAGAGCTTCGAGCCTTAGAGCTTCGAGCCTTAGAGCTTCGAGCTTTTTAGCTTCGAGCCTTAGAGCTTCGAGCTTTCTAGAATATTCTAAAAGATATCTTGATTTAGATCTTGATTACTTGATTGTGCACTTGTCATCCAAGTCCAATGTCGGTGTTTGTTGAACGGGCGGCATTCGAATGATTCCTCCACCCGTCCCCGGCATCACCAGTTTTCCCACGCCTCTCTTTGGGGCACCTGAAAGAAAAGGAAATCTTTTTTTCTGTAAGCCCCATTTAAGATGAAAGATATGACTTTAAAATTTACCTATTTTTCTCGAATTTACAGACAAACAAATTAAAGGCATCGTTTTGAATTTTGAAAATGAAAATGAATCTTTTGAAAAGAGCTTTTTTTTTCATTTCATTAAAAACCATAACATTTTCTAATATTTTGTCTTAAAAAGCTGCTTGATTCACTCTTTTTTTCTTTGTTATTTTCAGCTTCAAGTCACATTGTCTTCACTTTCGCTACAGTACTTCGCTTTGAAGCTTAAAGCTACAGTAAGCTACAGTAATCCTGATTAGAGCTACAGTAACCTATTACAGCTATAGTACAGCTATAGTACGCTATTTTCAGCTGATTAATTCACTTTGTGATCCTTATTAAAAGAAAAACTAGTAAAATAAACAGAAAAAAATGGCATTTTTAGTGTTAGAACTAAAACTATAGGGTAGAGTACTGTCAGAGTACTGTAGAATCAATCTGGTACTCTCGAAGGATACCGAGCCTAATCGGGACTACTATAGCTACTATAGCTGTACTATAGTGTATAGTTGCCGTAGCTCTAATCGGACTACTCTAGAATCAATCTGGTACTCTAAGAGCTGTAATAGATTACCGTAGCTCTAATCGGGACTACTATAGCTTACTATAGCTGTACTATAGCTGTAATAGATTGCCGTAGCTCTAATCGGACTACTCTAGAATCAATCTGATACTCTAAGAGCTGTAACAGATTACTGTAGCTCTAATCGGGACTACTATAGCTTACTATAGCTGTACTATAGCTGTAATAGGTTACTGTAGCTCTAATCAGGATTATTGTAGCTTACTGTAGCTTTAAGCTCCAAAGCGAAGTACTGTAGCGAAAGTGAAGAGTTTTTGGGGTACTGTAGAGCTAAATGATCCTAATTTATGACCCGTTTATGACCCCTTTAAACTAATAACTTCTAGGCCTACTGTAGATTACTGTATCCAAGTCTTATAGTACCTTTAGTAATCAACTTTCGTTTTTTTAATCAATCCTTATTTGATTTCGATTTTTGATTAGATTAAAATCAATTTATTGCGCAAAGTGATGCGATCGGAACGATTTTCGGGGGATTTTCGCACGGTAAAATCCTGTCCTTGGACAAATGGCGATCGAGAGACGTCATTTTATATGAAAGAGAATGAGAAAAGATGAGAAATGAAATGAAATGAAAAAACCGGGTATTTTGACCGAATCATCACACTTTGAAAGCCTATAACTTTCTCTAAAGACAATATTTTTGGTAACTTTTTATATCATTGTATAGAGGACATTTCAGGCTTTCAAATGATACCAAATAGAGTTTGATTGGAAAATCCAGTCCAAGAGAATTAGAGCCAACTCTGAGAAGATGTGAGCTATCGGACTCTGGTGTCGTGTCGCCTGGTTTTCATGGGAATGAAAAATCCAATCAAGCGTTATTTGGTATCATTTGAAAGCCTGAAATGTCTTCTGTATAATGATTTAAAAAGTTAACAAAAATATAATCTCTGGACAAAGTTATAGGCTTTCAAAGTGTGACGACCCATTCAAAACACCCGGACAATGCAAGAGCCGCTATTTTTAAGTTCATCTAAGAAAAAGATATTTAGGTAATAAATATGCTAATAAGATATTCTAGTGCCTAAAGTTTAGCGGTAAATTCCACCGTACTTCTGGAATTAGTAATGTACTGTACGCAAAGGATTACTGTACTGTAATGTACTGTACGCAGAGGATTACTGTAATGTACTGTACGCAAAGGATTACTGTACTGTAATGTACTGTACGCAGAGGATTACTGTACTGTAATGCACCGTACGCAAAGGATTACTGTAATGTAATGTACTGTACGCAAAGGATTACTGTAATGTACTGTACGCAAAGGATTACTGTACTGTACTGTACTGTAATGTACTGTACACACAGGATTACTGTACTGTAATGTACTGTACGCAAGGGATTACTGTACTGTAATGTACTGTGCACTAATTTCCCTTGTACGGGTCAGAAATGAGGATCACTTAGCGCTACAGTACCCCAAAAACTCTTCACTTTTGCTACAGTAGTTCGCTTTGAAGCTTAAATGTACTGTACAAATAGAGTTTGATTGGAAAATCCAGTCCAAGAGAATCAGAGCCAACGCTGAGAAAATGTGACATCTGGAATGTGACATATCCGACTCTGGTGTTGTGTCGCCTGTTTTCGGGATGAAAAATCCAACCAAACTCTATTTGGTATCATTTGACAACAAGAAAACATTTCTATTGCACACAAGCAACGACCTTTTATCTCTTTGCTTAAGTTTAAAATCGCGAATCAATAAAAACACTAATTCCATTGCTCTTTGAATCGCACTTCATCAAAAGTTACTGCTTTTAAAGTGTTATCGACAGTTACAGCTACAGCTACAGCTACAGCTACAGCTACAGCTACAGCTACAGCTACAGCTACAGCTACAGCTACAGCTACAGCTACAGCTACAGCTACAGCTACAGCTACAGCTACAGCTTAAATTTCTAGTGTTATCTCTACAGTATTCATAGAATCATTAAAACAATCTACAGTATTTATAGAATAACTTTAGCATAACATTTTAATCATAAACTCATCATTTTTTTGGAATAATGCTTTGCAATTTGCTAAAAGTACGGTAATCTTTCGGTAAAGTGGTTTAAAAAAAACGAATTTCTCGGGAGGAATACACTCTAGTTATGGCCACCTCTAGTTATGGCCACTCTAGTTATGGCCACCTCTAGTTATAGCCACCTCTAGTTATAGCCACCTCTAGTTATGGCCACCTCTAGTTATGGCCACCTCTAGTTATAGCCACCTCTAGTTATAGCCACCTCTAGTTATAGCCACCTCTAGTTATGGCCACCTCTAGTTATAGCCACCTCTAGTTATGGCCACCTCTAGTTATGGCCACCTCTAGTTATGGCCACCTCTAGTTATAGCCACCTCTAGTTATGACTACCTCTAGTTATGGCCACCTCTAGTTATGGCCAGCTCTAGTTATGGCCACCTCTAGTTATAGCCACCTCTAGTTATAGCCACCTCTAGTTATAGCCACCTCTAGTTATGGCCACCTCTAGTTATAGCCACCTCTAGTTATGGCCACCTCTCGACAAATGCACATTTCTATTCTTCATTATTCTCTCTAGCGTTTACATCGAATATCTTATTAATAGATTTATTATTTCTCATAGTTATCATCTAATAGTTATACAGAATTTATCTAATATATTGGTACTGTAAGATAAGATAGGGCACAAGAACTCTCTCACTTGAATCGCTGCTCACTTCTTCGCCAGAAGGAGTGCGTTTGCGAGAAACTGTAGGGGTACTGTGGGCTTACGCTTGGCAATAATGAGACAGAATTTTTATACAGAACTTGTCTAATATAGTGGTACTGTAGATGAGATAGGGCACAAGAACTCTCTCACTTGAATAGCTGCTCACTTCTGCACCAGAATCTTCTGCATCTTATTAGTAGATCTATTATTTCTCATAGTTATCATCTCATAGTTATCACCTCATCGTTATCATCTCATAGTTATACAGAACTTGTCTAATATAGTGATACTGTAGAAACATAAGATAGGGCACAAGTAAGAACTCTCTCACTTGAATCACTTCTCACTTCTGGACCAGAATCTTCTTTTTTATTATTTTTATTTTTTTTTATTTTTTCCCCCTATATTTAAATTTTTTTTTATTTTTTTTTTAAAAAAGGGGGGAAACCCCCCCCCCCCCCGCCTCTCCCCCTTAGGAGTGCGTTTACGGGAAACTGTGGACTTACGCTTGGCAACAATGAGACACATCTGTTAATTGGATGTTAAAATAATTTCAAGTTCAGCTATCTTGCTAGCTAGTTGTGGCAGTTTTCGAATGGAAAGCGCAACTCGAGTACAAACTTTGATTTCATTTTGGTTACAAGACAAGCATGCTAATTAGATATTTGAAACGTTAGATAGATAGTTAGATAGATTTTCTTTTGTTTACGAACCTGACGGACTTTCCTGTCCTCCACTACTCATCGTCATCAATGTATCAAAGAAAAAAATGAAATCGAAATTGAAACAGTAGAAAAATATTTCAAAACACCCGTTTTTTTTCTTTCACTTCTCCCGTCTCAATGACATCGAATTGATCTGAAAAAAAGAAAAAAAATCAAAAAATATTTTAAAATAAAGTTTCCGGATTGAAAATTGACGAAAATCTGAAAGAATTTTTCAATTTGTGGATTCAGAAGGAGGGAAAATAAGGCTGAAAATACAAAAAACGAGAATTGAAGGGGGAAAGGGTTGAAGGATGGACAGAAAACAAATAAAAGATCTGGGAAATGTTTGGAAAATGATTGATTGGATTGGGATTGTGGAAATTGGATATGAATAAGAATATCTTTATGTTTTGGTCTCGGGCCGGCCCAGACCGAGATCGGATTGAAGAGTTGGGGCTTGAGTCTAGGCCGGGCCAAGATTGAATTGAAAAGTTGGGTCTTGAGTCCAAACCGGGCCAAGATTGGATTGAAAATGATTGATTGGAAAATGATTGATTGGATTGGGATTGTGGAAATTGGATATGAATAAGAATATCTTTATGTTTCGGTCTCGGTCCGGCCCAGACCGAGATCGGATTGAAAAGTTGGGGCTTGGGTCTAGGCCGGGCCAAGATTGGATTGAAACGTTGGGGCTTGAGTCCAGACTCGGCCAAGATTGGATTGAAAAGTTGGGGCTTCGGTTCCAGAGCGGGCCGAGATCGGATTGAAAGGTTGGGCCTTGGGTCCAGACCGGGCCAAGATCGGATTCAAAGGTTGGGCCTTGGGTCCAAGCCGGGCCAAGATTGGACCGACTGATACGACCGTACGCACATGTCTAACTTGTAGTACCTCTACAGTACCAATAATTAGCTACAATATCCCTACAACAGCCATAGCTTTATAGCTTTTTAACTTTTATAGCTCTTTAGTGCTAGAAGTTGATTTAAAAGAAAACAAAAACAAAAAGCTGGAACAGAAAAGAACAGAAAAGCAGAGATTGAACCTTGATCATGTGCATTAAATCATGTGCCAT